GATCCGGTTTGCTTGCCTTGTATTGCGCAGAGCCGCAAGGACGTGGAGGGGTCGCTGTTCGTCGTGAAGAGGTGAGCGAGGGTTGATAGAATATTGTGTGCGGCTGCGGCTGGGATCTGAATATCTGATTGGTTTCTCCTGTTGTAGGAACACGCAGCCGAGGTTTCAGTTTATCGTCATGAACAGGCGGAACACGGGTATGTTTCTGCGATCTAAGTCCATCCACTCAGCCGTGTGACTCAGGCATTGCGGGTTACGGACGATCGCGATTAGAAAACATATTGCTTGCTTTTTGGGTAGCTAATAAAGCGCGAGGTCTCCAAGATGATAGATAATTAATACAGTTTTACTAAAGCACAACTATAGGTTAACCAATGCTCTTATGAAGTCAAACTATTCCAGTTCGGCCACACTACAACGTTGGCTACTTACAAAAAGCCTGATGGGCCACTGAAACAATCATGATACCCCAATCTTTCTGCTTGGCAGACTCTATTTTCTCAAGAAAATTCAACTTGACAAACCCAAACTTATCACTAGTAAACTTAGAGCATTCTACTCGGAAAATACAGCCTTTTTGTTAAGATCTTCTCGCGCGAAACCCCAATACCTTCCACTCGGCAAACTCTAAATTTTCAGGTTGAAACCTTAATCTCTCCACTCTGGGAATGTAAAATCCTAACTGAACGCAAGGAATAGAACTGTATGAAGTAGAAGACTAGTAATCTTGTTTACCATTCCATGTGGCGAGACTTGGCTAAAAAAGAGATTTGTTCCATGTGATCACACATTGCCACAAAAGATCACCACAAAGAATGAAGCAAAGGGGATAACTAGCCAAGTTACTTCGCTTGTACAGACCAACAAATACTATGGTGCGGTTGCCGATGCTAGCTTGCTGGCCTGCAGGTCATTTTAAAGTTTTGCATCCTGTTTGATAGTTACGACTTCCAGTTGGAAGAAAAATTCTCCTTGTATCTATCTAACAAAAGTTGGCTAGGACTAACAGCCGGCCTCTTATTTCTAGATGATTTATGAATGCTCATATTGTTTAGTTCATTCATGAGAACTTCAATATTGTTTCTCTTCTCAGATAATCTGGTGGAGGATTTATTAAGTGATTTTGAATACGAACTTCAACCTCCATATTTGTTGTACCGGAATGCTGCACAAGAAGTAAATGGTATTTGGTTTTACAATCAGCAGGACTGTGATGCTGTAGCAAATCTTTTTGGAAGGTATGACTTTTCATATATCATATGCTCATGTTGGAAGCCTCCTTTTCATGGCTCGGATGTTTATTGAAAACCATTTGTGAGTGTTACTGGATCATACTATTTTTTTGTAAAACTAGACTAATCATGTGCCAGTACCATGACTAAGTTTCGAGATCTTATGTGTTTCAACTCTAGCCTAGCCCAACTTGTTTGGGACTTGTTGTTGTTGTTGTTGTTGTTGTTGACTATCTGATCTTGTCTACTTTAGATTGGATTCAGACCAGAAATGCATGCCCTAAAAGCTGCAACTATCCATGACGGACTCACGGCCTAACAAATGGAAATAATGGTGTGGCTGGATTGCATGTTTGTAGAGACAATAGGACTTTTGTGATGCGAAAATTTTGAAGTTTCTAATGAAAACTGACGGACAAACTGTAGAAGTCATTATATTTTACCTTTTTTTGTTTCTGCCGACATATACACATATTAGGGCATCTCCAGTAGCTGCAAGATGCTTGTTGGTAAATTTGACATGTATGCATCTTTGATGACTTGTCAAGTAATAAATGAAGAGCGAGTGTGAGGTTGTATGAAAATGATCCAACACCTTGTGCACAAGCTCCAAGGTAAAGAAAGAGAGCAAGCTTCCATATTCACTCACGTCCTATTGTTCAACCATTCATACAACCACTGGAATACTTGTATGATACATTGTTGGTTGATGACATGGATATATTTACCAGCAAACTAACCAACAAATTGTTGGAGATGCTCTTAGTGATACAGTAACTGGTTCTGATCTGATCTTATGGCAACATGTAAACATTAAACAGGTAGTACTGTGGCTTCCTCCTTTTTCTTAGGCAACCAGAAATAGCTACACAGTTACTTATGCCTCGGGAACAAACTTTTCTCGGTGGCAACCGCAGTTTTGCATCCTAACGAGTGAAAATTCCTTGACCATGTTAACGGTTTGGAAATTAATAAAATCTTGTGAAACTTTCTGCATGTAAGGACTCTAGGAGCATCATGCTCTTATATTCAATCGAATGGGGCGTTACTATCATATAATTGGAAGTTTTCGAAAGGATTAACATGATTACCTGCCCGGGTGTCATTACCTTACCTCTGCACTGGACAAAATAGAGGAGAATCTTTTTCCTTTTTTAACAATTCGTCCACTGTCTGCAAATCATGCTTCATTATTTCGCTTAGTTCAAAGCATTAGCATGTATAACTATTAGATGTCTAACATGGGTGTGAATAATTAGGATTGATTAATCATGAACCGAACTTTGTCTTGTTGATGTCCATGTATCTTTAGGTTTTTTACTAGTATTATATTTTGGCATGTGGGTAAAATTATTAAAATGAAAATTTGTGAACATGTTTCCTTGAGTTTTTTAATTCCATTTTCCTTGCAGGATACTTAATGCTTACGCCAGAGTACCTCCAAAAGCTAAAGTGCCCTCCACCAAAAGGTTTTTTCCCCTCGACTGTTCATGGGAGATGTTTTGATTGACTTATGCTGAATTCTTCTAATATATCACAGCGAGTTTGAGGAATTGGAGGCTGTTCCTACGTCCGCTGCTATAGATGGCCCCCTTGAACCACCGCCAGCATCCACTCTCATTTCTGATACTCCTGATGAATCACTTGCTAATTACTTTGGTGTATGTTCTCTTCCTATTTCGTTTTGTTTTCTTCTGAATAATTTTCTGTTTCTCGCACTGCTCATGAAATAGTATATGCAGCATCTTTGGACTGTCATCTGAATATCTGAATTAAAACACCATCGTTGCATTTTGGTTCTGTGTGTAGTGTACTGAATTATTCTTCTATACAAATATATAGGGTGCTGCAAGCATTGGGAGTGTATCAAGTGGGTCAATGGTTGGAAGAGCTCATCCATCCACTGAAACCACTGCGGCTTCCCACACGCCATTGATTATGCCTTCTGCTGCCCAGTCGCACCAAATACACCCTCCTTTTGGAGGTTCATCAGCTCCACCACTGCCCCTCCAGGACACTAATGCCCATGCTAGCCATTCAACAAATCTTGTAACACCGGCATTCTTTGCTCCTCCATCATCCTCTTCTGCATCACTAGCTCCGCCGATTTCATCAATGATGCCGACAGCGCCACCTCTTCATTCAACTTCATCATCTACTCAACATCCTCAGTACGGGCATGGCGCCCCTCTACTCCAACCTTTTCCACCACCTTCACCACCTCCATCCTTCGCCCCTGCACACAACGACGGCTCTGTTATTTCACGGGATAAAGTTAAGGACGCCCTCCTGAGACTTGTTCAGGTATGTTCCTCGTTAAAAATTACAATATGTACTGTATGTTCTTTTACATGCTTCTAACTCTGGCGTCATGTTTCCCAACAGAGTGACCAGTTCATCGATTTAATTTACCGGGAGTTGCAGAATGCACATATGTAGACTGCTTCCTAGGTGTCTTGTTGCTCGCTGCCGCGACAAGAGTGTTTCTGTTCTCTGTGAGTTTTGTACGCTGGTTCTGGAACTTCTGTATAGCTTTGTATTGATGTGTTGATGTAGATTCTTTATAGCTATGGATGGTAGTACTTATGGTCTTCCTTGTTTACAAATGACTATGTCAATGTCATTACATTTATGTGTAATTGGAAAAAAGGAGTTTGTAAGGATGTTATGATATCATCATTTTCGTGTGTTTTACTGAGCAATCATCTCGGTCAGCATCAGGGTTTCTTGGAATGCAAATATTAGTGTGATTTACTGGACAGTTATTAACTATGCATCAGATTATGAAGTAACTTTCTTTACCAATTTAAGTTCTATTGAAGCTTGGCAAAACCTTTGCTCCAGAGACCTTTTTAAGAGTTTCACCAACTAAGCTTCAAAATTAGGAGTCCTACACTCCCAACTTTCAACGGTATCTTCTCAAGTTCCCCTTTCTGAAAATTAATGCAAAGAAGATAACTCTTGGCCCTGCGCTACAGTACATTTACATTGCGGCAGCGACCCTCTGTCCCTGTGTAACCTACTGGACGAACACGTATTCACATTCCTCGCACGTGTGAGCAAACCTTTACTACTAGTCGATGCGCGCGTGCTCACCGGCACGTGAGCATCACCAGGAACCCGACGAACGCCGCCGCTCCGACGCCGGAGCAGCAGAGGTCGACGAGCCCCTCCCGCCTCGCCTTCCACTCCTTCCGCGCGCTCTTCCCTTTCACCAACTCCCCGTACTGCCGCGCCGCCTGTGCCTCCGCCTCCGCGCCCCGGCCCTGCCTCGGGGCGGCCATGGCCGCGGCGACCGCCGCCAGCCCGTCCCGCCCGCTGACGCCGCCGCCGTCACCGTCCTCCACGCACAGGCTGACCTCCCGGACGTGCCCAAACCGGTCGTCGCACGTGACGGCCGCGTCCAGGGCGACGCCGCCGAGCACCACGGTGAACCGCACCACGGTCTCTCCCGTGAGCCAGCTCCGGTCAACGGACACCGGCCGCCGGCTGGAGGCGTTGACCGCCCGGCCTGACGTCGGGTCGAGAAGCAGCCAGCTCAGCGTCAGCTCCGCCGGCGTGATCGAGGACGCTGCCGAGAAGCCCTCCTGCAGGAGCGCGTCGACGCGGAACGGCGAGCCCAGGAACCACGCCGACGAGGCGTCCGTCTCCACCACGCGCGATATGATGCAGACCCCCTTGTGGTGCAGGTCCACGGCGGAGACGAGCCGGCTGGGCAGGGCGGGCGCGACCGTGGCCGTGGCCGCCGCCGCCGCTGTCGCTGGGAACGGGAACGCGTCGGCGAAGAGCGCCCGGTGGAAGCCGTCACCGGTGCCGCGGCAGCAAGAATTGTCGAGGAGGCCGGCGACCGACGGCCACAAGGCGAGGCAGAGTCCGCGCCATGTGTCGGGGTCGGTGGCGAGGTCGTGGAAGCTGGAGCTCGCGCAGCCGAGCGCCGCCAGCGACGCGCCGTCGAGCCGGCGGAGCACGAGGGACAGCACGTCCGTGGGGAGGTCCTCGATGACCGTCTCTGCCGCGCCGCCGCACGCCGGAGAATCGTAGTTCATCATGCTCTCCTCAGTTTGACTACTCGCCGCCATGGTGGACACACACGAAGCTCGCACCGGTGCAATTCCTTTCGTCCTGTGCGACCTGTGAATTGGTTATGCACCTGTGAATTGAGTATGTTTATAACTTTGTGTGTGTAGAGTATATATATACTCCTACTTATATAGTGAGTAAGGTGAGTGATCACGGTCTGAAAGCGAGAGGTTCCTTTTGTACAACTGATCAACTCTGAACTTGCTTGCGTTGCCCAGAAGCAAAGGCCAGAATAAAATAAATGAAAAAGCAAATGTCCTGATGTTTCTGGGTTTGTTTTATCACTCACTGACGAATGGGCCGTGCCGTTCTATCTCCTTGGACTGACGTGTCAGCCAAGGATTCCTCCTGCCATATAGAAAAGGCCAAGTTGCTCAATGCAAAGGTGTTTCTAGTCTTGTGGGTGATGCTGTGGGATGGAGTCCACACGTCACGCGTACATCTTAAAAGGGAGAAATCAAACCGGCACAAGCGGACTCGGGGAGACGGACATGGCGGCGTTGCCGTGCGTTACAGAACTCGGCTTCGCACCTGTAGCTCGTATAAAAATGTGAAATCGTACGGAGCGATCCCACCGTACGTGTCGGGATGGCAACGAAGCCCCCGTGTAGCGCTGTCTGTTTCGCTGAAAACATGCGTGTTCCAGGGTTGTAGAAAAATTTCCTTCCCCGCCTCTGGAAGCGGTACTTCAAACTAACACCGTGATAGCTGATAGGAGTATTTTCTTGGCCGGGGGTGTATAACGGTGTCTACAACTAACTTGTTAGAGCAACTCTAGCAGATCCCGTAAAAACCCTCGACCCACAAAATAATCGTCAACATGCGGATTGACATGGAAAATCCCGTCCGAACAGATCCCACAAACGCGGCCAGCCCGTAAAATTTTTTGAGGAGCGCGGCAAAATCTCGGCCCTAACCCGCAAATACGCAGGTTTCCGCCTCGCCCCTACGATGCCCCGTATCGTAGTGAAGCGGTTGGCGGGAGGGACATTTCAACCCGCGCCCTTTGCCTCATCCTTCCGCCGTCGCTCGCCATTGGTTCCGTCCGTCCGCTGCCGGCGATTTCGGCCTAATCTGCGGGCGGAGTCGCGCCGCGGGGGCGTCCCCCACCCTCCATCACCGATACGCTGCACCGCCCCTGGATCCGGCGAGAAGAGCCGCCCCTCGTCGCCGCCCCTAGTCGCCGCCCGGGATCGCCCGCCCCATGAGCCGCCGGTTAGTGTTTGCTTGTGCTTTATGCCGAGCGCTATGCATAGTTGGTTGACACGGCGTGCGATTTTTGTTCAGGTAGATGGAATTGAGCCCGTGCGAGAAGTTTTTGCTCGACGATTCATCCGATTCAGACGACTCGGATGTTGAGACGCTGCTTGCAAACTATCGGCAACAGACGTTGGTGATGGCTCTTGCCGTGAAGGAGCACGAAGACGAGAACCGAAAGAGGCGGCGAGGATCGACCGTCGGGCGTCTTTGCATTCCTCAGAATCGCCATCTCGGGAACGAGATGTTGATGCAAGACTACTTCGCTGAGAATCCAACATATCCACCGCACCTCTTTCGGAGAAGGTATCGAATGCGTCGATCCCTCTTTGTGAAAATTGTTCAAGCTTGCGAAGCAAATTGTCGGTATTTTACTCAAAACAGAAATGTCGCGGGCTTGAAGGGATTTAGTGCATATCAAAAAATCTCGACAGCTATGCGTGTGATTGCATATGGTGTTCCGGCTGACTATGCCGATGAGTACCTTCGCATTGGTGAAGATACCACAATTGAGTCAGTGCGTAGGTTCGCCAAAGTGATCATCCGTGTCTTTGGTCCTGAATATCTTCGGGCACCCAACGAGGATAACACAAAGAAATTGATGTCATCTAATGAGAGAAGAGGTTGGTGTGGCATGCTAGGCAGCATTGGACTTGGAAAAATTGCCCGAAGGCATGGCAGGGAATGTATCGTGGCAAATCTCGTGATGCAACAATTGTGCTAGAGGCCCTAGCATCTGAGGATTTACGGATTTGGCATTATTTTTTTCGTATGCCGGGCACTCTCAATGATATCAATGTGTTGCATCGGTCCCATTTGTTTGCTAGACTTGCTAGTGGTGATGCTCCTGCTTGCAACTACACTATCATTGAACATGAATACACAAAAGGGTACTATCTTGCAGATGGTACATACCCTCCTTGGTGCACATTTATCAAGAGTATTGAAGAACGCAGAACTAAAAAACAATGTGAATTCACAAGGGTGCAAGAGGCAACCTGAAATGACATTGAAAGAGCATTCGAGGTTTTGCAATCTAGGTTTGCCATTGTTCATGGTCCTGCTCGTTTTTAGGACAAGCAGGCCTTGAAAAACATCATGACATGTTGTGTTATCCTTCACAATATGATTCTCGAAGATGAGAGAGACATGAACTTGAAGTTTTTCTACGATAATGTAGGTAGCCGTGTCAAACCAGCTAGAGACTCTAACTGTATTAGAACTTTTCTTCAGACATATAAGGAGATTGAAAATGCAAACACCCACTTTCAGTTTCAGGAGGATCTCATTGAGCACCATTGGCAAAGGGCTGGACAATAACAAACTCAATTTTATTTTTTTATTTAATTCATGTGTTATTTGTATTCGGGACAAGTTTTATATTGCATTATTTAGTTTGCTTCGTTGATTTGAATAATTATTTGTAATGTGAATGAATGTTGTATTGTGTTGGTATTGATATTTTTTCTGAATATCATTTTGTAGTGTGGATGTTTCTTTTATTTTTGGGGTGTGGTATTGATATTTGCGGACCGGCGGCAACGGCGCAAGAGCAGACCCCACAAAGCCAACCCGTAAAAAAATATTTCGTGAATATTCTTTTATACGAGTCCGTTTTGCGGGGTCTGCCTTTGCGGCCGTCTGCGCCGGTCCGCAAAGCCGTTTTTCCGTGAACTGCAAATGCGTTTTGCGGGTTGGCGGGATGCGAGATCTGCTAGAGATGCTCTTAGCCATCTACAACACCGATCCTCAAACCGTCACATATGTCCGGACTGCGCTGTTTAGACGTCTTGTGCCATCTAATGCGGCTTGTATCGGTCTGTCGAGCGGTCCGGACTTGTTTTTTTTACCATAAATCAAAGACAACCCTGAGGAAATTTACGGGAGTCCAGACATCCTCATAACAAACCAAAAGTCGCCAGGTACCTTACATTTTCATCCAGATGACAGAAGTCCGCTGACTGTTGCTATTAATTGGCGGAAGGCTAGCATGTTAAAAGCCAGATCGTGGTTAGTATTTGGGCATTTGGCAGAAGCTTTGTACGAATATTTGGGGATCTAGTAAAAGGTTACTTCTTGCCATATGATTAGCATTTGGCGGAAGTTTTGCAAATATATTTAGGCATTTGACGAAAGTATACTTCTTATCATATGATTAGCATTTAACAAGGTGATTAGTATTTGCGTATTTGGCGAAAGCTTTGCAAATATATTTGACATTTAGCGAAAAGTTACTTCTTGTCATATGATTAGCATTTGACAAGGTGATTAATTTTTTATTAAGGTTCTTTATTACTTCTTGCCAAGAAGGCAAGAATTAGGGAAACTACACTGACTAGTAGAGTGCCCGTGCGTTGCCACGGGCTCTTGAAATAGTTTACAACGTAACATGTTAAATTCCATTTTTTGCAAACAATATAACACAAACAAAATTATTTAATAACTGAAGTCCATTTTTGCAATGTAAATTGATAACAGAAAGAAAAAGTAACGACATGTCCATGTAACAAACTGAGTGATGTTCCAACTAAATATCTATTACAAAACTATTAATATCTAGATGATGCGCTTAAGAAATTCTTTCACAATATCCGGAAAGCTTTCTTTAGCTTCATTCCCACGATGTTTTAGCAAGTATAATAAGAATTGCTTCCTCAATTCACACCCATCCTGCACAAACAATACATGTAATTAGTATTAAAATTTCACGTCGAAGGTCTTAACACATGTTACGGACAATACTCACTGAGCAAATCGGCTTGACCAATTCTTTACCGTTCGACCAGAGCATAAAATGGAAAACAAAATATCCAGACACATTCCTGTAAAACTTTAAATTAATAATATAAAGAATATAGTGATAATAAAAGTAAATGTTTTTCGTATGGATTCATTACCCATCTATACTCGTTGGAACACCAAACGGAAATAAACGTTGCCATTTAGATATATCATAATTCCAACCAGGCAGCTTTATTTCGAGTGCTTCTTTGAAATCCCTTGCAAAATTTTTTAATTTCAGTGCATGCCTTATCTTTTTTTCCTCTAACGATTGTGATATTTGAATAGGATCCATAATATATAGGCGACGTGCCTCTTTATCGATGACATACAAGATGTATCGGCCGATTGATGAATAGGGAAGATAAATCTACAAGTGGAGCTATTAGAAACAACAATAAAACATGATAACAATGGACAAATAATTTTACTTACCTTGTTGCATGATGAGATATCGTTGTCCATCCCAGACCAACTATCAAATAATATTGCCAACGTCTGGATAGTGTCCTTCTCGCAAAACTTCTGACCTCGTGTTGACTCTAGCAACATGGACTAAGCAAAAAAAGAAATATTGGTTCAACATGTTGTTAATAATGACACATAAATTGAATAGTTACGGTAACTTACACAAAATCATAGATCCATGTAGTGTACGGGAGGGTCTATGAACAATACTCCCTCGTCACATGCCAGCATACGCATGGCGGTGTTGAAGCATTCATTGTCCATGGCTGCTCCATATTTAGTATGCGCTGAAGTTTCTTAAGACTTAAGCCTACTGGATCGGGTGTCGAGCTCCGGACCCATAACTTCCTACAAATTTGGATGGTAAGAAGAACAATAATATACATCCGCACATTAAATATTGACACATGATACTTACTCCAGACATCCGGCATCATCGATCGACATGATGTAGCTGCAAAGGCTGGCAAGTAATTCACGTTTCTCCGTGGGT